TTGTTCTTAACTATCATCTGTTGATCCCCGAACACTATCCCGACTTCATTCCTTAGGCTTTTACTCAAACATAAAATCTCCAAATTACTTGAATTTATTCCATAACCTCTACATAGCTCGAAATCACTCCTGCAAAGCATAAAACACACAATTAGTGCAATACACTAGCGATTATTGTTCAAACTAAGTTAAAGCAATATACTACATCTTTCTCTCTTATATTCTCTTAAGCTTTACTATTCGAGTTCATACTTTTCAATAGCATATTCAGTTGATTCGAAGGCTATTTAACTTGAGGGCCACAGTTGTTCATCACATTGGTTGCTTTATTTTATTGTTAATTTCTATTATTAATTCTTATATTCATCAATTTGTGCCAAGTAAAATCACATATCCTTAAGTCACATATAAGTTTAAATGTTATCCAATGTTAAGGGTAAATACCTTATATTCTTAACTAAGAGGATGCCCTAACTAATTATACTCGTCTTAATGTGGTTGCCAAAGAAACAAGATTACATGCTCAAAGGGGTTAACTACGATACATAACAATTAGGCGGGTATATATACATATCTGGGTCAACAAAGAAATGCCTATATCGCTTCCAAGACTGAACAAAACTACTATTTCGCTTTGCAAACGCACGGGGCAAGTTCTAGGCATCAAATGCAATGAACAGAATAACACCCAAATCTCACACACACATGGCACATAACTCACTCGAGATTGGATTCATCAAGACACTCTAGTCAAAGCAGTTAAGCAAAGTTAAAATCATACAATTTAAGGTACTTATACAAGAGTCAAAACTGAGCCTATGCGTCACAACCAAAGTACTCACTATTCTCAAGGCATAACAAAGTCAAGAGATATTGCTTCATTTCAAAACACAACACAATGGCTCTAATAGATCCATCGTTGGGAAAAGTCCAATCTTTTCTATTCAAAAAATATATTTAATTAAACTAACATAACTAAAATAGCATAGAAAGTCACCCAGACAATCTCGTCACCTCACACTTAAAATTGTGCATTATCCCCAATGCACACCCATACATACGAGAGGGTAAAAGAAACTCCCTGGTAGGCCAAAGGTCGAAGCACTAGCATCTCATGGGGTACTCAAACTTCTTCCAAGCCTGGTCCTTCGTGCGGGTACCTCACACTTTGTTCCAACCATCTAGTTTGTTGTTGCATCCTTCCAATAGCTTTGCTTTCCATGCTCCTAGAAAATCAAAAATCGGCACTACAAAAATAATATAATAAAAAAACAAAAGAAAGCAGTAAAGTTGGGTTGCCTCCCGACAAGCGCTTGATTTAACGTCGCGGCACGACGTGAATCACTTTCTGCCTCCACTTCGAACTTTTGAATTGGACCCCAAGTTTTGGTTCTGCTCTGTGATCATGCTCCTGGGGTGGTAGAACGAATCTGACTGGCCCAATAACATAATGTAGTATTCTGCACTTCTTGGCTTTTGGATGAGATGTGTATTCCCGACTTTCTGGCACGAAGAATTCCAGAATGTAGGCATCTTGTTCCTTACTCCTTGACTCCTCAAGTGGCTCGGATGACTCTATTTTCATCACATCATCCATGCACAATGTGGAAAAATGCTTAAAGTGTGGACCAATGCGCTCAACTACACAAACAATGGGATTGTCAACATCCTTAACACTAACGACACTAGAGTCAACTAAATATGTATCCTCAATATCCTTGGTTGACTCTAGTATCTCTTCTACGACATCGGCATCCTCAAAATCTAGTTCGATTGACTGTTGGTGTTCTATTCTGGCCTTCTCCTCTAGCTCATCCTCGTATTTTTTTTTAAATTCTCCTGTATAATGGCAATTTCTGCAGCCAATTCATACTCATATTGGCTACTATCCACAATGTCAATGTGTGGCGCTTTACAAGGTTCAATTAATTTATTCGCTTGAGCCTCTAAGTTGTGAATAGTTGCCCCTTGCCTTTGTACCCGCAGTTGTATCTCATCATATTGTTCCATAAGGCACTTTAGCATATCCTCGGTCTCTTTCAGGTCCTCATACCCGGGTTGTTTGTTCCTATTAACTTCACAAGAAAAAGAAGAACCATCAAAGTAAGGAGTTGGGGGAAGATAAGAAATATAAGCACAACCATGAAAGTGACCATCTTGACCACCACACATATCACACATATTCCACACAAAAGATTGAGTTGGCGCACATAACTCGCTCTCGGGAATATTTTGATAATTTTGCCCTGCATGGTTTTCTCCACAATATACATAACGAGGATCAAAAGTAGAATTACCAACATCAAAACTCTCATAATTCCAAGCTGTCATGTCTCTCATATCAAAAATTAAAAAATTAAAAATAAATAAATAATCAAATACACAAAAACAAAAACAACAGTTCAAACTTGCAACCTAGACATATGTACACCTACAGCTACACCGTTAGTTCCCCGGCAACGTCGCCAAAATTTGATCACGCCCAACTATGCCTTATAAAAAGGACAAAGCGGTCATTGCAAATATAATTCGATTTACAAGTCCGGAGTCGAATCCCACAGAGAACTAAGGCTTAGCTACAGTTGTTCACTATCACCAAGAATACAAGCTTGAACAATTCCTAACTTATAGATATTAAGATTCTTGTGTTTAACTAACTAACTAACAAATTAAAATAATAAATTAACACTAAAGATACTACAAGTTGGAGAAAAGATTAAGGAGGTCTAGAGTTATGATTTTCCCAATTGTCGGAATCCTTCCCGCTATGTCTTCTATAATTTCGCCTAAGTATTCTCTACCGATCATGAGCGCTCTGCATGTTGTAATTCACTCCTGAGTAATTACGATAATTTACTAGACATACTCTCCCGAGTTACGCTAGCTAGCTTTAATTACTGCTCACTTAGATCGCACCCAAGGTTTCGTTATCCCTAATCCCATATTAAACCCTTGGTTATTGATTCCTCACATACGTCGGGAGTGATGTTGTTCAACAACTACCTAAATATGCACTCTCTACCGAGTAATACATACTAAATAGTCACAGCTAATTGAGGGCCCTTCAATCAACCACAATAATAATATAGTTGAACAAATAGAGAAAATACTACGGCTCAATTATATAAAAACATAACAAGAATTTATTCCATCAAAACCCTAGACAACAAATTAGCTATTCATAATAGTATGTAAAACTACAATACTAAAATTCATAACCAATAATGAAAAATAGGAAGAGGAAGGAAAAACTCGTAGAAGAATTCTCCGCCTTGCTCCTATTGTGTCTCTGCCTCCTTTGGTCGAATGTGTGTCTCAAATCTGTCCAACCTCCTTAAAATGTGGTCCCAAACAATTATAACTTCTCCTAGTCTGAGTTAAAGACTAAGAAATTAAGCCGGGATCGTGTTCGGGGATCAACAGATGATAGTTAAGAACAAACGAAGAATCGAGTAGGCATATTGCGCACTGTCTAGTAAAATGCATATAACTTTTTTCTCAGAACTCCATTTGGGCTCTACAATATAGCGTTGAAAAGCTAACTCAAAGAGCTACAAATTTTATGTTTTACATTTTTCCAAATTCCGAACAGAACAGGGTGAAAAGTGCGCGGCCACGCTGAGGCCGTGCTCGTCAGGCAGAATCAAAGTGGATATGCGCGGTCCAAGCGCGGCCGTGCACGTCCTGTCCGGAAAATGTGTCCTTTTTCGCTTCAAAGCTCCAAATCACTTGAATTCATTCTATAACCTCTACGTAGCTCGGAATCACTCCTGCAAAGCATAAAACACGCAATTAGTGCAATACATTAGCGATTAAAGCTCAAACTCAATTAAAGCAATATACTACATCTTTCTCTCTTATATTCTCTTAAGCTTTAATATTAGAGTTCATACTTTTCAATAGCATATTCAGTTGATTCGAAGGCGATTTAGCTTGAGGGCCACATTTGTTCATCACATTGGTTGCTTTATTTTACTGTTAATTTCTATTATTAATTCTTATATTCATCAATTTGTGCCAAGTAAAATCACATATCCTTAAAACCACTTGTAAGTTTAATTGTTATCCAATGTTAAGGGTAAACACCTTATATTCTTAACTAAGAGGATGCCTTAACTAATTATACTCGTCTTACGGTACGCATTATACACGTATACACTATGTCAATGGATAAAATAATTATACAAAATTTATGTAAATTTTATATCAAAATATTGCATAAAATAGAAGTGAATGTTCTTAAAATGATAAATGTAGATCCTATATACCCAACTCAACGAAAGAAGAAACTGTTAGTCTCACTCATCACTCAATATATTCAACCAAAAATTTATTTTAGATTTATAATAATTTAAATATAGTGTGTATATATATATATATATATATATATATATATATATATATATATATATATATATATATATATTGTTTTGCATGTATCTTATTAATCATTACAAAATTTGTATAAATATCTTCCTTTCTCATCTTTATATTTTTAAAATTAATTAGGTAATTACAGTACTTTTTTGGGGTAAGGTAATTATAGTATTTCTCGATACAATTTATTAATCTTATTTTAATAAATATAATGGTTAAATATAGTTATAATTATTGATTTCTTACTACAAGTAAAACCATTTTATATAAATTAGTCGCTCAAAGTGATCAAACTCACTCTAAAACATTAATAATAATAATAATAATAATAATAATAATAATAATAATAATAATAATAATAGTAATAATAATAATAATGAAAAAGAACTATTGTCTGGATACATATTTAACTCGGTACGAAATTTAAGTAAAATTTTTTTTTTAAAAAACTTGTGGTCTAAAACAAACAATAAAAATTTTTGTGGTTGTAAATCAATTCAGTAAGGGTAAATTAGGAATTCTCTTAATAAGGAAAATGTGACATTGTTTTTTGGACCGACTAAAAGGGAAAGGAGTATTTGATTTTGTATGGATCTCGATAGGACCAGGAATTTTTTGTTGGGTAGATGCTCAAACGATGTCATCACTACAATCATATTGAGATAGAAAACAAAACATCCATACAAAATTTTAATGCCTCAAAATTTATATTTAGACAAATCAATATTACAACTGGAACGCTCGATGATACCCACTAAACTCTCGCTTTACTCCTCATCAGCATGCAATTTTTCAATAGTATCTTTAGGCCTGTCTGACTTGTACCGAAGTATAATATGTTGACTCTGCAATAGAATGTTGGACTTCCGGCATGTGCTGTAGTATATGTGAAGCAAAATTAATAGTAGTATCTATTTCTTTGTCACACCAATCCTCATAAGAGCAACATATGCTAGCAACCTGTAAGCCACAAGCATTATAGCCAATGCAACCACTGATATCGCTTTATCTCCAAGCCCTACTGACTTTATTGCAGGAAAATCTTCAACATAACAAGTTGTATTTATGCCACAAGGATATGTTTCCCCTGGCTCAAACTGTGACCCTATCAACAACTTGAATGTGTACTGGCTAATCGATATGTATTTGATCCAGGCAATGAAGCTAGGAACATGGTGAACGTAATATCCTCCCGCTAATGTGAACGATAACATGATTACTGAACCAAGTATAGTAGCTGATTTTTGGTCCATAACCAATGCACCAAGAGCAAGTCCAAGGCCTTGTGAGACTAATACACTAAACAGGAGAGTGAATAAGGTAGAGAAGAAATTCGGTGCGAATGGTTTTAGGCCTGCCATCCAGTATGTTATGATAACAAAAATAGTAGGAAGAACAAGCTCCATGGGAAGGTCACCGACAGTTCTTGACATGAAGTATGAAGAGAGTCTGTACATGCCTGAAGATCTTTCCTTCTCTAGCATCATCCTTTCTTGGGGGAAAGTAAAAATGGCTTGGAAGAGAGGATAGAAGCCCCAAAATCCAGAGTAGAAGAACATAAGCCCAATCTGCATTAATTGATAAAATTAGAACTCTCAACTGTGTGGTGTACGGTCTAGTTATGCAGAGATTATAAGGATAGATTATGCAGTGGATGAATGATAACACAGAGATTATTATACAGTGAATAATAATGCAGAGATTGTTATCCGGTGAATAATAATACATAGATTGTTACACACAAATTGCTTATAATAGAGGCATTTTTGTCTTTAGATACTCTTATCCAAATATTGCTAATACATGATTCTTGTCCCACATTCCATCCCTTATAAATTAACACAAACAATCTTGTGTGCATATACCAGAATTTGGTATGAAAAAGAGGAAGTACTGATTACCTGATCTTGTATGTCTTTGGATTGCCACCACAATAACCCACATAAGAAAGCTACCACTAAGACCTGTCCAATCTTGAGGCCTGAGAACGACTCATGTTTTCGTTCTTTCATTCCTCTTCTAAACAATACCGAAAATTGCTGCCACCAGGTGTTTGACCATTGACTGAATTTCCCTTTATGTAATTTTTCATGAACTTGTTGATCATCAAATTTTCGCAATTCTTCCTTCACGCTATCAAACAGATTGGTTTTGAAAGCAGTTACTAAAGTTTGCTTGATTGATGCTTGATCTTCTTGTGGATCATCTAACACACCTGCACAATTGAAATGCACCAGTTTACTAATCATCCAAATCTCATTTGCTAAAAGATAATGTATATATGACAACACGACCAACAATTTGTCTTAGAAACGTGAAGGAAAATCCCAAACTATGTGACTTTGTCGACATATAATGAGTTTTGATGCAATCAAAAAAAACCCTCAAGATAGATATTTCTTATTTAAGAGATGATCACAGTGAGCTGATTCATTGGCAATGTATATAGCCTTCACTATAATTCAATCTTACGCTAGCGTTTTTTGTTATCTTTATGTGTAATCTGCCAGAGAAATAAAAATGCTAGACTTGGTGCGGGCAGACTGCAGAGATGTGAAAATATCTAAAACTAACATGAAAAATAAGTCTTGGTGAATGCTTGTAAAACTATAGATGAACATACCATTTGCAAGATCTAACAAGAAGTCGGAGGGATTCATTGCGACTAAGGGGGGAAATCCAATACTCGAAAAATATCCCATGGCATCTTCGCCTCTCCCAAAGTACAATGGATTTCCTTCTGATAATAACAACACTTTGTGGAACATGTAAAATAGCCTACTTGAAGGCTGGTGTATTGTCATCACAATAGTCCTCCCGCCCTTCACTAGCTCCCACAAAGTCGACACAATCTTTTGAGCTGTAGTTGAATCAAGGCCTGATGTTGGTTCATCCAAAAAAAGCAAACTTGGATTAATGAGCATTTCTTGCCCGATACTGACCCTTTTCCGCTCCCCTCCAGAAATTCCTCTCAATAACGGACCTCCAATAATACTATCCTTGCATTTTGTTAATCCCAATTGAGATATTACAGCTTCGGCATGCGCAACTTTTTCCTGGTGTGATAATGTTTTAGGCAAGCGAAGAAGGGCAGTAAATACAAGTGTCTCAGTCACGGTAAGGTGAGGGTAAAGAATGTCATCTTGGGTAACAAATCCAGTGTAACACTTCATGGCGTTGGTGAAGGGCTTTCCATTATAAGTTATACTGCCAGCAAGACGGCCACTCAACCGGCCTCCTAGTCCGGTTAGTAGAGTTGTTTTACCACTGCCCGAAGGCCCTAACATGGCCAGCATTTCACCAGGGAAAACTATTCCCGTTATCCCCTTCAAGATTATTTTCTCTTCTTCCGGTTTAGAGGAACTATTGAATAACCCTTCTTTCTTAGGTTTAATCTTGTACACAACATTCTCAAACTGCACTTTTTGAACACCCAGATCACTTTAGCAAATAGCTGGAGTTTGTAATTCACAGGATTAAAGTATAATAAGCAGAGTCAGAACTAAAAATTTAAACTTGACGGATTTAACCTTTAAATTCTTACTATTAAACCGAAAATACTGGAATCAGTTGAACGGAATAAACTAGGCTCTATGCGCCTCAGATGTTAAGGTGACTCGTGTTATGAAAAAATACTTGAACAAATTTTTCTGTGGTGTGTGTTCATGATTAATGATGAAAATAGAGAGAGAGAGCGCGCGCGCGCGCGCACACACACATATATATATTATCTAGAGGATTCTGCATGACTTTTCTTTCCCCCGAAAGTAAGTACAATTAACTTCCCCTTAATTCTTGTGGAAGTCCGCGAGACAGAAGAATTAAAATAGAGAAAACAAACTACATTGAGCAAAAGGAAATAAAATGGATACAAATACAATGTATGTAAAAGAATAAACAACAACAGAATTAAAGTAAAACAAATAGAAATTCAAGAATATGCAAAACAAATAGAAATTCAAGAATAAGCACAATGGTGAAGGGAAGGAATTTGGATATTAGGATTAAATTGGACAAATTTAAAATAATAGAACAAATCACACAAAAGGAATGTATTCAAATAAGAATGTCGATTCTAAGTCTACAATCGCCATCACACCTTTTTTATTTTCATTAATTAATCATCAAATATCAAATTCAAAGGAATGCATGCATGCAAGTTTCCAGGAAACGATAACTACAATCAGAAAATCGGACTAATTATTAAGTAGATTACATAAATTAACATGGAATAATTAATTACCTTGAGAGTTACAGGAAGATTAGTTTTCATGAAGATGGCGGCAGTTTCGAGCTGAGTAATTTGTATGTCCGCCATCTCCTCTTCCATATTTGGGGCTTCTTATTCTTTTTTTCCTGGACGCTCCCCCCTCCCCTATATATTTATTTGAAGAGAAAAAAATAATGGGGGAATGGGAATGGAGCTGTATCCAGAAAATGAGATAAAGAAACAGAATTTGATGTCTTATAAGTTCTTGGGTATACGTAAAGTTTGGAGAGATGGATTGATACGTGTTACAAAATATAAGGAGGTGTAATAAATGAGTAAATTGAAACACTTTAGAAGTTGGGGAATAAACGTAATTAAGTTATAACACACGGGTATGAACATGACATGTAATCTTCATGTCATGCGAGAAAGATGATATATAGCTGAACTTGGATTCTTTTGGTCGAATCCAGGATTTAGCATTAGCTGGCGAATCGGCCAGGATTTAGCTTTTACATAATGGGTTCAAACTATTTTAACAAACTATTAAATACTAAAGTCATAATTTCAAAAGCATAATAAATATAGTTCTTTAATTGTTGAATCTATTAAGTCTACATATATTATATACAATTATTTTCAACATGAGTATGATATATATATATATATATATATATATATATATATATATATATATATATATAT